AAATGGGCTGCTCTTTCTGTATATACAAGACTTGTCACTTTGTACTTTGTTTCTTTGTGAAGATATGAACATCTAGAGATTAAGGTCTATGGGGAGCTAGAATGTCTAGGAATGGAAGCAGATGGAAACAGTTTCATATTATACACATAAATTTAACTGTGACCTGAGATGGATTGTCCAGTACTTCTATAAAGGCAAAATTGAATTTTTTTGTGGCTGTTTTCTGCCGTCATATTGTATAATCTAGTCACTATTCAAAAACTCTTCAAACTTCAGTTTTTAGTACTTATTTCATAGAATTTTGTGAGGATTAAATGCAAAGAACAAGTAAAGGGCTTAGAACAGTGTCTCTCCTATTATGAGTGTTAGCTACATTTATTATTTTAAAAATTCATATAATAATAATGTATCTTCTTCAGTAGTGATTGAAACTTACTTAAATTTTAATGTCCCTGATTTTAGGTTCCCTGATACGTTTACCAAGGGTAGGTTGTTTTGATTTAAAAGTCCTCAAGTGCTTGATAACATGCAGGGTTTATCATTAAACATTTTTATTGCATGTGTATTTGCAAAGTTCATTTTGGTCTTCTATTAGTCTACCCAATCACCTTCTAAGAGAAAACTTAGTGTCAGAATACTGTTGAATAATGATGAGGCTAAGGATGTGGAAAATTAAATGACAAGAATGCATCTTCCATTCAGACCTCTCAAGGAAGATGTCTAGAGTTTGGGTTTGCATGTGTCTACAGATAAGTGTATGTGAGCATCCAGTGTGAGTATATAACATTTATGAGTCCTGTTATCAACATTTTTTTCCTAAGTTAAAATAGGAATCATTCTTTAAGCTTTTGGATAAAGAATTTCAGTTTACCAGGTAATGGAAAGGAAATGTTATTACCACTTAAGGGCTGGAACTCTGAGGTAGAGTGTTTTGGAATAATTCAAGATTGCTTACTAGTCACAGCTAATGATTCCAGTTTTACTCTGCAGGAGGCAACTACCATTTGCAATGTGAACAACATCAAAAGGATAGTATGGGGGCTGGGGCTGGGGCTTAGTGAGGCACTGAGGCACATGTGAGACACTGCACTGGGTTCAATCCTCAGCACCACATAAAAATAAAATCAAGGTATTGTGTCCACCTACAACTAAAATACCCCTTATTACTCTGGAAAGAGCCTAACCATATTATAAATAGGCCTGGCTTTTTTAAAGATAGGGCTGGGCTGAGAGGGTTCTCTGGTTGGTATAAGCAGTAGGTATGGAAAGCCTACACCATCTGCCATGGGTTCTGCCTTCTTCTGTTTATAGAAGTTTATTTGTGAGTCTGTATTGGTCATCAGGCAAATGCCTTATTTGTTTCCTGATTGTTTATAAAACCAAGAAGCCAGGCGACAGGATATTTATACTGTTGTTTATCAAAGCATTCACTGTGAGAAGAGACAAGCAATTCATCTGCCAAAAATATTGTGGTCTTTGAATTATGAGGGCACATGTGTAGGGTCACTGCATTACTAGGTCGTAAATAAATGATTTTGCTCTCTTAAACTAATGATGCACCTCATTTAGGTTGACTTCTCTGTCCTCAGACTTATAAGCACAATTTCTGCCTTTCACTTACAGCTTTTTAGCCCATCAAGCAGTTGCTTCTCCACATCCTTATTCAGAACTTCAACATCATTTGCGCCCCTTCTAGAGTGAGATCGGGTGAATTCCAGAGCTAATCAGACTGTGTCATCCCTGCTTCTGGGTTTCCATGAGCAGTTTCAACAATGTTTCGTGATTACAAGACCTTTTAATGTCTCCCCCATTTCACCCTATCACTTATCTGATCTACTTCTAATTTTTCATGTTCCAGGCTTATATTCCTTTTATTAATCTGCTTCTTTCTTCATCATCTGCCCTACCTCTGCCACTTTGTAACTGCAGCAAACTACTAAACTCCAGAACTTGGGCTCTGTTGTTCAAATTCTCAAAAGTCATCCAAATTATTCTGGTAGCAAAGTAGAAGAGCTTAAAAATATTTTTAAGCTTAGAAAGACTCACCTAAACATGGCCTGCTTGCTACCTGTAGTCACACTCCTGTCTCGGGGGAAGTTATGGGTGGGATTTTACCTGAACATTCTTTGGACATTCTGTGTTTGGTGCTGCCCACATTGAATTAGCTATTTTTAAAACAAGTGTCCTTGAGGGGTAGTAATGGAAATACTTGGAGTTTACCTCTAGCTTTGTCCAGGAACAAAATCTCAACCCCAGCCACATTCTTTAGAAAGAAAAGACCATTTTCACTGTTAGACTGTAAGCTCCCTGGGGGGACATATCTCTAGGATCTGTTCATTCGTGTATACCAAATGCCATGGAATGGAGCCTTTTCCATTGTATGTATTCAGTACCTCTTTGTTCGTTTGAATTTCTATCTGATGAAGGTATTAGTCTAGTATTGCATTGCAATAAGGCTCTTTTCCATTAAATTGAGGACTATATTCTCTCTTTTTCCCAGTGTCAAATAGATATGACTGAGTAAACTTTAATATAGCAATTAAAATACACAGGAGAAAAAGATCATTTTATCCATCAAAGTGCTTTGCATATACATAGATTTCTGAGGATTATAAACATATCTCAGAGACCAGGATTAGTGGCAATGTAGAAATATGCCAAAATTTAAGAGATATCTCAAACATGAAGGATAGTGGATAAAGAGAAAATTTATGTTTTAAAAAGTTATAGAAATACAAAATTGATGAGTTCCCTGTATATCTGCACATCAAGTATTTTCCGAGGATCTTATTACGTTACTCCTAAACAATTTTTTAAATGAAATAAAGGATTTAGTTTGGTATCTTACTAGATCCTTCACAAATTTAAAAATTATGGTATTATGATTATAGATGATTGAAAATTATAGAAATAAAACTGAAGACTTCATTCTCTTTTTGGAATGGGATTACTGTGGAACAGAGTCTTGACCTAAAGTTGATGGTTTTACTACCTTGTATATTTGAGTTTCCTAAATCTGTGCATAAACATTTTGTATATGTGCATTTTTTTTCCATGAGGAACAAGGATCCATAGTTTTAATCAAATTCCCAAGGTAGTTAGAGACCCCAAAACTTTATAAAACTATGGGATTATAGTATTTTGTCTTTCTACAAGATGTAGCAGAACTCTTGTGTGTCAGTTTTATGCTAAACATGTATATGCATTAACTATTTCACCCTAACTTCATAATATTATAAGTAAGGAAGATTTCCAAAGTTGTACAGTTGATAAGAGATAGAGCTGGAATACCAGCCCAGGCAGAACCAAAAGACCCTGCTTTTATTCATTACATAGGACTACCTTTTGGGTAGAGAGAACATATGTCAAAAACCAGAGCCTTCTCAGTCTAAGCTATCATTTCCCCTTAAATCATCCTTTATATGGTAACTGCTTCCTAAGCTTCCTAAAGATTTAGCACACTCAAGCAGCCCTCCTCAAAGTAACTAGCCTTCTAAGGCACAGAAGCCACTCTCTCCAGACTGCTCACCTCAGTTTTTTTCCATTGTACAGCTAGGCTGCAGTAAGCAACATTTTATCTTAACTGTCTATTCTAGACTCAAGTCTGCCCACATGGCACAAATGAACAACCCATACATTTGGAGAGTCTCCAAAAAATCCATCCCAAGCACTGAATGATCCTGGCTCAGTTCCAAAATTTTACTAACCTTCCACAAATTGTGATTCCAGACACGTTTATACCTTGGCCCCCAGGATAATGGAAGCCACAAAAGAGGCAGAAATTAAAATGTCAGTCCAGCTGGGCCCACAATGTGGGCCAGCAATTACAATGGAACCCATTGCCTCTTAGGTCACCTGAGGGTAGCACATCTGTGCTTTCTGCAAAAGGAGTAACAAAGTTATCCACAGCAATTTTCTAGATTTAAAAAAAAAAACTCTGTAAATACAGTGCACTATTTATCAACAACAACCAAGACTTTAAAAAGCAATAGGAACACATTTTAAAAAAAAATCAGGTGAAAAGCAGAAATCAGAATTGTGGTAAGCCAGGTTTCCACCATTATTTAGGAGCAAAATAAACTGAATATATGGCCAAGTCTGGAGAGGGAAGTAAGAGAAAGCATTTATGTTCTAAGAAAAGAATGATAATCACCTTCTCATTTAGCTCAAATTCTGGGAGAAGGAGTAGCAAGTCCTGTCACTGCAGACAAAAAAAAAAGAAAAGAAAAAGAAAAACATATGCATATATATCTGCAGCAAAGATAATACCTGAGAGATCATAACTTTGTGGGAATGTGAAAAAAAATTGAAGCAGCAACCCAAGAAAAATAAGTGAAACAGAGGACCCAAGTCAGAACCATGAGTAACAAAAGGGATGGAATAGCATGGGAATCATGACACTGCTAATCTCCTCACTTTCTCCCCTTTTTTAGCACTGGGGTACTGGGGATTAAACTCAGGGGCACTCAACCACTGAGCCACATCCCCAGCCCTATTTTTTTTTTAAAAGAGAGAGAGAGAGAGGAGAGAGAGAGAGAGAGAGAGAGAGAGAGAGAGAGAGAGAGAGAGAGAGAATTTTAATATTTATTTTTTAGTTTTTGGCAGACACAACATCTTTGTTTGTACGTGGTGCTGAGGATCGAACCCGGGCCGCACACACACCAGGCAAGCGCGCTACCTCTTGAGCCACATCCCCAGCCCAAGCCACATCCCCAGCCCCCCAGCCCTATTTTGTATTTTATTTAGAGACAGGGACCCACTGAGTTGCTTAACACCTTGCTGTTGCTGAGGCTGGTTTTGAACTAACAAGTCTCCCATGCCAGTGGGATTACAGGCCTGCACCAGTACACCCTGCTCCCTTTCTCCTATTTTATTCCTTACAGCTCCAGCCATTGATGAGTGTCACTCATTTGACCTGAATCATTGGTTATGTTTTTTGTGCCTCTGCAGGTCCTGATTTCAGTGTGAGTATTGTAATGTCATATTTATCTCTTTGTTAGGTTTGAAATTGAGACTCCAAGCAAGCAGATTCTTTTCTTCTGGTATGTATGCCAGTGGGGGAAATGGATGGTACTCCAGCAAAAATAACCTTCCTCCCAATCTGCTTTATAACTCGAAGAGACACCTAGTCAAGTAAATGAAGAAAACTGATATTTAATCATAAAGGAGCTTAATTAAACTGTTTCATTTTATCCTTTTATATCTCCATACAATAAAATGGATATAGTTTTCTTCATTATAGTATTTGTCACCTGCTTTGTGATTGTTTTTTTTACTTGGCTTCCTTCTGCATAAGATTATGGGCTTTGCAAGGAGAGTTTTCTTCATTGTTCTATCCTTAATTGAATAATTTTTAAGAATAAATTAATAAATAAAGTCAGCATCAAAAAGTCTTCTAGTCTGTGTGATAGGAATAGTGAATTATTATCAGGTTAGTAAAATGTGGGTTGTGTTTCTTGGGAGTATATAATAAACAGTAGTTGTAAGCTGAATTTACATTATATGTAAATGCAATGTTGAATCTTTGTTGTAAGTTTTGGAATAAGAACAATTGTTTAGGTCTGTGGTGAATAACTATTATTTTTGTCATCCAGCTATCATTTTTCATTTGGGTAACTCTTGGCAGTTGGGGTCTGGGAAACTGCTCTCTCTCAACCAGGCCCTTGTCTTCTTGCAGTAGGAGCCTCCTTCCCCAGGTATGGTGGGTCCAACGTTGGTATGTGATACTCTGTTCCCTCAGGAAACTGCCTTTCTCAGGACCACAAAGGTTTATTTAGCCACAGTCCCAGCTGGTCCTATCAGAGCACTTCTGGAACAGGAGGCTGTTTTGTCTTTACTCTGGGAAGAAATGAATTAGATCTGTGAGATCCCTCCATGGGCAGCCACACAGATGGGAACTGGGGATAGAAAGGGAAAGGGGAGGGTTATTTTGATACCTTTAGGAGCCAATAAGTCACCAACATCTTAGTTTTTTCTCTCATTTGCCACAAAATTTTTACTATCTAGTTCCGAGATGGCATTGTTAGTTTTTTATATTCTTAAAAGAAAAGGATCATTTTAGAAGGCTCTAAGAGAAAGTAAAATTTGGTAAGTTCTTGGTCTTGTTAGGAAATTCGTTATTTTATTGGACTGAAATCTTCTGCCCTAGATATAGTATTCTAGTTTCTGGAACTACAGATAATTCACATGCATGTAATCTCTCTTCAACCTGACAGCTCCATATGGAGAGAGCAATTATGACTCATTTGTTCATTCTTTCATTCAATAAATATTTATTGAGTACTTACTATGTGCATGCACATCTTTCATTCAGGTTATATATTTAGACTGTCTTTGAACTGTTTTTCATATCACAGGGATTCTAGGCCAATATTGCTGTTTGTTCTTTAGAACTTCCCTGTGTCAAGTCATCTAATATTGCTATTCCTTCTTTAGATTCCACTGTGTCAAATCATCCCCTTGAAAATATGGTATCTGGAGCAGAATATGATGGCCTTGTCTCATTTATGTTGCAATATTTTAAGTGCCAACCAAGTGCTAGGCCCAAAGGAAACAACAATGAACTAGACACAGCGTTGTGCTCAGAGGACTCCCTGACCAGAGGGAAGCTGCTGTGTGAATAAACTAGGACAGCACAGGGGGCTATAGCAAAATGCAGAAAAGGGAACTGACAGTCTGTCTATAGAGCGGAATCCCTAAAGTGCTTTTGATGCTGAGAAGGTGAGCTAGGAGAGGAGGGTAGACCTTTGACAGGTGGCTGGGGTTGGGAGAGGTTATTCTAGGGAGAGTTGGAGGCCTGAGCAAAGCAAAATGGAATAAAGATGGAATAGAATAGCTTAGTGAGTACAAGGTCCTACAAACGCTTTGGCAGGAGAGGGGGATGTGGGAGGGAGATATAAAAGAGGTGAGACTAGAAAAGTCATCAGGGATATAAGCTCATGATAGAGCCTTGAATGCCTCACTAAGGAGATGGTTTTTTTTTTTCCATGAAGTGACATGGAGTCTCTGAAGGTTTTGAAGAAAGGAGATGACATGATTACATTTCCATTTTAGAAAGACATTTTGAAGATGTATGATCTGGGGGATGGACCTCTAGAAAACCACGTCAGGAAAACAAGCTGGGGGACTAGATTGGGTGGGAGGTGAGGAAGAAGATGGGTTAAAGCCAGTGAGGATATGCAGGCAGGCTGTGCTGCAGACCTTTGCTGCTCAAAGTGGGTGAGAGGACAGGGGGCATCAGCAGTCCCTGTAAGCTTGTAAAAAAAAAAAAAATGCAGGATTTAAGGCTTTACACTAGGCCTACCCAATCAGAATCTGCAGGTTAACAAGATCCCTAGGTCTTTCACAAGCACATTAAAGTTGGAGGGACACTGACATAGCTCCTCAGCATACAGTGATGAAGACACGAGACAGCTTAGGTCCCTGCCCTTGTGGGGTCACACCCCAGCAGGGAGATAGATTTAAAACAATAATTCCACAGCTGACATTGAATGATGGCTGTGATTAGTGCCAGAAAGGTGAAACATAGGGAACTGGGCAAGCATCCAATTGAGGGACCCACCCTGGGTCTGTGGGTTCAGGGAAGGTTTCCCTGAGGTAAGTTTAAACTGACAAGCAGCAGTGAACCAGATAAAGCAAGTATTGAGTATGGGATGTGGGGTGTGTGTGTGTGTGTGTGTGTGTGTAAGTGTAAGAATCTTCCATGCAAATACCAGTGTCTTAGGGTTAACAGAAAGAGCCAGAAGAAGCAGTATGTGAGCTGAGGAGTATATGGAGTGGGGCGAGAGGTCAGGCAGGGGATCAGGTCCAGCCTTCCTATCATGCAAAAGAGATTTGATTTTATCTTCAGAAGGAAATGGGAGGAGAAAGCCCAGAGCAGTATCGGGAAGCCCACACAGAAGAGAACTGACATAGCCTTCTCTGAGGGTTCTGAGCACAGCCCCTTCATTATGGAGACTATTGCTTTAGGTGTTTTAGTTTTGACTTTTAGTTTTCACACAGTTTAAGAATGACTTGTTGAACATGGTCTCTGTACTAGGCCTTCTGTGAACAAGGGGGAGATATTAAAATATGTGAGATGCAATCCCCACCTTTAAAGATATTCCAGTTTAGTAAAGACATTCTGCTCCATTAAAGAAACTCATACATAATAAAACCAGGAGAACTTCCAATTAGTTAATCATCGACTATGTCTACTCACCCAGACTGCTTCAGAGACAGTTTTCCCACCTCCTGTTCTGATATACAGTGTTTGATTTTTTTAAATTTTTAAAAGTTGTCAATGGACCTTTATTTTATTTATTGATACATGGTGCTGAGAATCAAACCCAGTGCCTCACACATGCTAGGCAAGCACTCTACCACTGAGCCACAGACCCAGCCCTTGATTTTTTTTAGTACAAAATTTTACATTTTTCTTGGTTTCAACTATCCTCCCAAACTGCCCTATCTTTTTAAATCTTGCTTCAGTCATCAGTTTATTAGCTCTCTCTTTCAACTCTCACCTATATGTAGATCTGATGAGCATGTCTTCTTTTTGTTAGTTTAAGGCCCTACTTAAAAAAAATGTTGACAGTTCTCAGGGGCCCCTTAATCCCCTTAGCTTGGCAGTAGTAGAAATTCCCTTCCAGGGAATGATTAGTCAATATTGGTTAGTGCCATATGGCATTTTTTTTTTCTGAAACATGGTTCCCTATCTTGTTGATAGAGATAAATGCCCTATTTATGGGTACCCACCACACCTGTGAATACCTACTTACTTCACAGTACTTGTGACATTACATTTTAATTTTTCTATATTGCTATTGGTAAGGGAGTGCTCTTTTACTTATTTGTGTATTGCCAACACTGAGCACAGTACATTTCATATGATGGGCATTCAATAAGCATTTGTTCAGTAACTTAACCTGCATAACTTTTATAGACGTGAAGAAATTGTGTAAAACAGACAATTTGATATAATTTGAGGACTGAAATATAAAATTTATCCCTGCACATGGTTCCCAGGTCTGTGGACAGTTCAGCTCTATGTAAGTGAGAAATTGGGGCTCAAGTTGATTTCTCAGATTGGCTCCACAGTATTATATACTTTGCTTTCTGGAGTATTTCTGACATTTTGTAGAAATTTTAGCCTCTTTGGTTTATCCCAGAGGTTCTACAAGTAATGCAGTGAAATCAAGAGTAAAGAGATGTGTAACTGCTCATATACATGACTGATCCCCAATTTCATGGAGAGGAAGTGTCAAAAGGGCCTGGATTTTGCTAGTAGAACTCTGGTTAACAGGTATACAGAACATAATAATATGGGTAAACTGTCAAAATAATAAATATCCTCCGTTTTTGTGTTAATCATCTTAAGGTGTTTGTAGATTTTCTTTTTGTCCTGGCAAGTCTCACTGTTCTCTTGATTAATTAAATTATGGATATCACAGACACTTATTTTTAAAATTTACTTTCATTAATTCCTCACTGCCTTGATTTTATTTTTTCCTCTTACTATATCTGGTTTGGCAAAAAATACTTGATAATATCAGTTGGGACTTTTCTGCATTCTACATCCCATTCCTGTATTATGGATTTCATAGGCATGGGCCAATTCAATCCTCGTCAGTGAGAGACAGGAGTACTATTCTTCTTAGTTTATAAAAAATGAAATGGACAGGGGGCGGTTAAATCAGTCATATAATTGTTTCCATCCCTCTTGCCAGTATGGTGGCATGTTGCAGAGCTGAGGTTTGAATGATACCTGATTCTAGAGCCTGAACTCAGCATACACAAGTCTGCAGAGGGCCAAAGACATAGGATGCCACGTTGAAAGTACCTTTAGAGATTATCTAGCTCAGAACATGATGCATGCTTGTGGATTTGATTGGCTCTGTCACTTTCTGGGCAAAGTGAAACCCCCATTGGAGACCAAAAGGCATGTAGAAGAGAGGGTTAGAAGAAGGCGTGGGTTAAATCTAATCCCAGACTCCCAGGAGAGGGTTTGCATTTCTGGAGCTTTGGAATTGTATGGATATTCTGCAAAATTTCTTTCTTTTCTTTTTTTTTTTCTTTTTCACCTTTTAAAAATAAACTTTTATTCTACAAACTTTTTAAACCTACATTGATTGATATGTTTTCTCATCAATAAAATACTGAATAAGTAAGATTGCCATCTCATTTTAGCTTTAACTGCCACCAGTTAGCTATGTGACCATAAGGTTTTTTGTTTTGTTTAACATTTACTGAGTGCTCTGTGCCTTTTTTAGAGAAATACATTTCAGGCAAGAAAGGCAACAAGAGTACACATGTGCTGTTCCACTGAGCAGAGGGGACAGTGGGATATGGGGACTGCCCAGGTTCACTCTGGAGAGTCAATGAGACAAAAATTCTATGTTTTGATATGGGAAAACTGCTTGTTACTTTAACACAGAAAGAAAAACAAAAAGCTGTAAATTTCTATTTTCATAGGCAGTGAAAATGTGAAGATCTGAGCCATATGAAATGAAGCCAGTTTTCAGTGAGTGCATTTTGCTGAAACTAAGAGTGACCTGTGTGTGTCCATGACTTCTAGAAGTTGATAACTGAGTAGTCCTTTGTCACACAAAGGAAGCAAGAGACCTGAGGATCAGGGGGACACATGACTCACAACACCCTCCAAGGCAAAAAGGACAAGTATTAGGAAGGTGAGAGAAGCATGCAAGGTGTATGCATCAGCTATGCCCATGGTGAAGCTCAAGCCAGAATGCTATGAATTGAGGCCACAAGCACAAAGGTCAAGGTAGAAAATAAAAACCTCCACCTCCATTTGTAAGTAATGTGTGTCCCTCGCTCTCTCATTCCTTTCCTCAATTTAGCTTCATAAGCCTTTGTTGAAGGATTTTCTGTCTCATTTAAAAATAAAGGTGGGTGAGAGAGTGTTGTTTTCAGATGAGCAGGCCAGATGCGACAGCCTCCGTGGAGTAAATACATATTCTGATTTCTTTGTTTGTTTGTTTGTTCTGCTTATATAAAAATAACTTATGGAAGCTGAAATACTGCAAGTGTGTATTAAAAGCTGAAGAGACAAGGGTTTGGAGCAATGAATGAGATGAAAGAGAAAGCTGCTTCAGGCAAGATGAAAGCCAAGCAAAGGGCCGTTAATCATCCCAGCTGGAGATAAACAAGAGAAAAACAGTGTCTCCTCAGAGGCGAGGAGGAGCCCCACTATCCACCGTGGAAATGTCTCTGACATCGAAGTTACTGAGCTGGTTACTAAGCTTTCTATTTCTGCTCTGTCAAAGTCATCCCATTAAAACTTAAAATAAGCCTGCAACTGGATAATCTTACCCTTATAGAAGCCTTATGTAATATATGCAAATGTGTATTTGAATTATTAGGCTTTTATTTTTTTTTTTCCTCAAAGCTGCACTTAAGTAAAAGTGTGTTAAAGCCTAGAGATTTCTAAAACAAATGTGTATTTAGGTGCATCTCTAAAGAAAACCTGAAGAACAAGGTTATCTTGAGAAAAACTAAGAGGTATAGAAGAAAAGGCCCTGTATGGAGGACTAGAATTGCTGGGTCCTGGTGCTGGTTTTTCTGCTTTAGATTGGCTCTTGCAAATCATTTAGCTCCCAGGACTGAAAGATGCTTTTCAAGTAGAAAGAGTTCAGAAACTAGGGACAAGAAGCCTGAGTTTGAGTCCCATTTATGACCTAGGTAGCTAGCAAAGAATTTAATATTTGGGGTCTTGTGTGTGTATGTGTGTGTGTGTGTGTGTGTGTGTGTGGTGCTGGGGATTGAACTCATGGCCTTGTACATTTGAGGCAAGCACTCTGAGCTAAATCCAACTGAGCTAAATTCCCAACCCTGGAGTCTTGTTTTCTTATCTATAAAATGGGAGAGGTAATAGTACCTAATAATACCTAATTGTTAGGACTGTTCTAACATATGAGAGTACATATGAGACTATATATATATATATATATATATATGCTTTGCAAACTGTAAATAGGCAACTTGACAAAATAGATTAGTTGGCCTTTGCCATCATTTTCCTAGTTGATCTATGCCTCACAGAATGGTGGGAGAATAAATAAGAGCTAAAATGCCATTTATTACAGAAAAGTCATAAATACTACTCCACAATTAATTTTAGCAAGTGAGGACATACTTTAATTTGATTGGTAAAGGCAGACATAAACCAATCAGAAAGCCAGCCCCATCTGGGTGATGTGTAAAACACCTTCCATCTACAGTAAAAGAAATACATTAAGGTTCTTTCCTTAGTGTCTTGAATTCTAGAGGGCATTGGGGGTTGGGTGGCTTAGGGTGGCTTAGAGAAGACAGTGCAACACAAAAGCATTTGCTAGGTTATGGGGAGGGGTGTGGGGGGACGCTATGCTTTAAGAGCCATAAGATGACTGGAGTGATCACACAAAAAGGAGATTTTCTAATTCCATTGGAGCTATAATCTGATTTCGCTGTTGAGTACAATGTCCCTTTCACAAGAATCTGAAGTCAGTATCAAGGGCTGCGCTGCAGAAGTTTTCCACCCAGCAACAGGATGATGTCAGCGGCCAGAAAGAACAACCAATCAGCAAGCAGAATGAATTAGAGTGTACTGGGATTTTGCTCAACTGTCTCCTAGCAAAGCTAGCTCAGCTCTAAAGTGCAGGGGCTATTTGCACTTCCTCTGCACTTGAAGCTGAGACTGAATGGCTTCTTAACTGAAAGGGTACCTATGGATGTGCAAACAGTTATGATTATTTTTGTTGAAACAGTCCTATGGGTAATAAGAGTCATAACGTTGCTTTTCTGCAAGTGTTGTTTTTTTTGGGGGGGGGGCAATGAAAAAGTCAACATTAATAAATATTTTAAAGGTTTGATTTATAGATTTTGCCTTATAATTGTTTGGAACTTGTTTCATGCATTAAGTGCTGCTGAGCAGCTAATGAGCTAATCACACATGAGCCGAATATAAAGTTCAGTATATACTCCATAAACCTTATAGTGTTTGAATTTGCCTGTGATGTTTCAAGTCCTCCCTTTAATGACAAGCACTCTGGAAATCAACAGCTGTTTCATATCTGGGTCAAAACCTTTATTTTTTTTTGATTCCAGTAAAATGTATTTGTGTATGCCTTAAAGATAAGTCTAAATGAAAAGGTTACAATGTGGCTTGTAGGCATTGCCTCATAGGTAAGGGAGACTTTGTAGTGTTTCTGAAAACATGAAGTTATCTCAAATATTTTGTCAGTTCTCTTTGATACACAGTGATCCCAGTATTAGAAGAGGAAACAATTGAAGGGTTAAACTTACCCAACCAGCATCACAGTATTTCACACCTTCCAGATATCCACCTCTTCTGAGCTAGCTAAGGTTGGAAGGCAGTCTCTTCCTTAAGTGGTGAAAACACATCTTTCCAAAAGAAAGGCTATATAACAGAGAGGGAGTGATTTTTCTATCGTGTCTTCTTTCAGAGTCTTTGTAGGACTCAGGAAACATCAGACTAGGATTTATTAGCCCAGACCTGCCCCAATCCCTTTCTCTTTATATAGTTTGCTTCTTGGCTGAATGCCTCCTTTCCTTCATTACTGAAATGAAAACAGGATTTATAAAAATCAGCTAATTTGAGCTAATTAGGGACACATCACAACCTGGAATATTGAGAAGATGGGATTCGAAGATATTCTTTGGAGAGAAGCAGACTTAATAAGGTCAGAGGTCCAAACCAGGCAGGAGGGGAGCACACAGGTTGGTTTTCCTGGGTTTGCATCTCAGCTCCATCACTTACCAGCTCTGTAACTCAGGCCAAATCCCCATTCCACAAGAGCAAACTAGGGCAGTGGAATGGGGATTGCAAGGATGGTTGTGAAGATAAATAATCTTTCACTGAGCAGGGGCAGAACACATAGTAGCTACTCAATAATTCATAGACCCTCCACCTCCTTTAAACTGGAAATAAACAACTTGTTGGCAAATAGAAATCCCAGAGAGACCCACTTTCACAAATACTGTGGGACTTATAATTAGCATGTAAAAGGATTGCTTCCAAGCCCTGAAAGCATGCTGTCCTTTAAAGGCTCTTAGGCAGGCTCCGGAAGCCTTGTTTACATTTTGGAATTAATTTGCTTAGCAAATCCACACTGGTAGAGCAAAATTAAATTTCAGTTTAGACCCTGTTTGATTGACCCCAAACTCCGAATGATGGTGGCCTTACTGTGATCTCAGTTTCACTTTTCTGAGAGCCTTCAGATTAATTGCAACCGGCCTTCTAACATTCTATAACATCAGTGGTCTTTTCTAGAAAGATACAAAACATGAAATATCTGAACCAATGTTATCATGACCATTTCTCCTTCTCCATCTGAATCCCTCAAAGGGACATACTTCCAATGCTAAGGAAATTTAGAAAAGCTGTCTGCAGAACAGGTTAGACCAGGAGCTTGTGCTAGGCAAAAGCCCCAGGGCAGGTTAGAGGTCACAGCAGCTGTGGTGCCCAGAGAAGAAGGCAGAAGGAAGTCGGGTGGGGGATGCACTTCCTGGGTGAGGCCGAATCAGCTATTTTGGACTCTGGTTCCTCATTAGTCAATAACCAAGAAGACTACAGAAATGGTCCACTGGGCCCTTCTCCTGAACAATTCATTTGCTGACTAAGATGAAATGTTGTATTTGTTGTTCATTCGAGGCGCTGATCTCTGTACCATGGAGAAGCCCCATTTTTTCCCACTGTACAGAACCATAGACGAGACTGATAGATCACTTGGGGGTTTCTGAAGGTTCATATTAGGACAGCAGGGTGCAGAAGCTGAATGGGGAAACCATCAAACAGGAAGTCGGGATCTCCTGACAGCACCTCACTGTTCCAATCACTTCAAGTCCAAATGGAGGAGTTAGAAAAGGGTATAAACTGCCACTGCAGCTGTAACTAAGAGTCAAGACCTGCCTATTTTTTTAATGAATGAGTCACTGTATACAGTGCCACATCTTTACCTGGGGAAGCCAATTTATTCCAATAGTGTCTACTTATAGATCTGTATCTACAAAGATTCCCCACACACTTTACAGGTTAGAGTGTAGAGCAGTTTTGCCATTCTCCAGGCAAGAAGTAACTGCTCTACCCTCCAAACTGTAAAGTGTGTGGGGAATCTTTGTAGATAAAGATCTGTAAGTAGGATTTCCTTACACATACCTCTATAGCCTGGTTTTGCCTAGAGAATCCTGTCAGAAATCTAGTTTGGCATCAGCCTCTTCACATATGGACCAAACATCCCCCTTCAGGCTTGTTTCCTACCAACCCTCTCCAAGTTCAAGTTCCTTCCCCTTATCCCCATATTTCATGTATCTTAACCACACTAAAATAGTATTTCCCAAACAAGCCATGACGGTCCCTTTTCTAAAATCCTGTACCTACCTCCTCCCTGGAGGCTTCCCACCTCCCTTTTCCCACAAAACAACAAGCAGTTTGAGGACAGGACCTCTCTCATTCACTGTTTCTTCTCTATCACTCAGTACTTTCCTTAGCATATAGGAGAAGCTTGACAACTATGAATTAAATTGAAGAAGGGAGCCTTCAAGACCCATTCCAAAGGTTTTACCCCCATTTGAATACCCGAATTAGGAGTTCCTTCCCAGATGTCATTGCCTTCTTTCATGACTTTCTTATATCAATTCTCTCCCCTCCATGAATCTCACCAGATCCATGCATGGTGCTTTGCAAATAAGTATAGACAGTCCCTGACTCATGATGGTTCAACTTAAGGTCTTTTTGCCTTTGTGATGGTACAAAAGCATTTAGAAGAAAACAAACTTGGAATTTTTTAATATTTATTTTTTAGTTTTCGGCGAACACAACATCTTTGTTTGTATGCGGTGCTGAGGATCGAATCCGGGCCGCACGCATGCCAGGCGAGCGCGCTACTGCTTGAGCCACATCCCCAGCCCCAAACTTGGAATTTTGAATTTTGATCTTTTCCTGGTGGTATGATACTCTTTTGTAATGGGGCCATGAGAGAAAACCACAGCTCCCAGCCAGCAGCACTATCAGATGATCATCACATATAAAATAGACTTTGTGTTAGATGATTTTACCCAACTATACAGTCATGTCAGTGTTCTTAGCATGTTTAAGATAAAGTAGGCTAAGCTATGATGTTTCATATTCAATGCATTTTCAACTTAGGATGTGTTCAATTTATGATGGGCATGTTTGGATGTAACTCCATCAGAAATGGAGTTTATATTTATACTAAATAAATGTCCATTTATTTAGTATATATTTATGCTAAATAAATGCTTAAATAATAAATCTTGACTGTTGTGTTTATGTGTGGT